AGGAGACAGAAGGTAGTAGTAGAAGGCTGATAACACAGTGTGGAGCTGGAGGAGCACAGCAGGCCAGGCACCATCAGAGGAGCAGGAAAGTTGACGTTTTGGGCCGGGACCCTGGTTCAGGCTGCCTGGCCTGCTGTGCTCCTCCAGCTCCACACTGTGATCTTTGACTCCAGCATTGGCAGCTCTTACCATTCTGAATAGTAGTTTGTCTGACTGGAGGCTGCCATCTAGTGGCATACTGCAGGGATCTCTGAGATAACAAGGTGCAGAGCTGGATGAACACAGCAGGCCCAGCAGCATCATAGGAGCAGGAAGGCTGACGTTTCGGGCCTAGACCCTTCATCAGAAAATTCATCAGAAATTGGGGGCGGGAGTGATTCAAGGATGGGAGTGGGATGATAAGTAAGCTTGTGGATGACACAAGGGTGGCCGTGTGGTTAATACTAAGGAGGAAAGTCTTAGTTTGCAGGAAGATGTGGTCAGATGAGCATTTCAGTGGCAGATGGAATTTAATCCTAAAGAGTGAACTTTTTTAAATTCACTAATGGGACATGGGCATTGCTGGCTAGCCAGCATTTATTGCCCATGTTGCCCTTGAGAAGATGGTGGTGAGCTGCCCTTTTGAACTTCTGCAGACTGCATGCTGTAGGTAGCCCCATGATCCCTTTAGGGAGTGAATTCCAGGATTTTTGACCCAGTGACAGTGAAGGAATAATGATATATTTCCAATTCCCGTAGTTTCCAGAAATGTGCAGGCTAGGTGAATTAGCCATGGGAAATGCAGGTGTATGGTAGGTGGGGGGGTGTGTCTGGGCGGGATGCTGTTCAGAGGGTCGGTGTGGACTTGCTGGGCCGAATAATCTGCTTCCGCACTGTAGGGATTCTATGATTCTACTGTGGCTGCATGCTATGCTCATGAGAAGTCAGGATGTTGAGTGGCTCGAGATCTTGGGAGGGGATCTTGCAGCTGGTGGGTGTTCCCAACTATCTGCTGCCCTTGTCCTTCTCGGTGGAAGTGGTCATGAGTTTGGAAGGTGTTATCTAAGGATCTTTGGCAAATTTCTGCATTGGACCTTGTAGATAGTACATACATCTGCTACTGAGTGTCAGTTCTTTGGCATGTGGTGCCAATTAAGCAGGCTGCTTTGTCCTGGATGGTGTCAAGCTTCTTGAGTTTTGTTGGAGCTTCATCCAGGCAAGTTGGGAGCATTCCATTACACTCCTGAATTGTGCCTTGTAGATGGTGGAAGGTTTTGGGAAGTCAGGAGGAGAGTACTACCATAGTATTACTAGTCTGTGACCTGCTGTTACAGCCATTGTATTTATTTGGCGAGTCCAGTGGAGTAACCCCAGGATGTTGTTACTGGGTGACTTATTGAATGTCAAGGGTCAGTGGTTAGATTGTCTTTACTGGACATGGTCATTGCCTGGCATTTGTATGGGAAGCACAGTCGCACTGTGGCATAGTGGTTAACACAGCTGCCTCAGAGCACCAGGGACCCTGGTTCAAATTCAGCCTTGGGTGACTGATTCGAACAGCGGGAGTGGTGACAGCGCGAGCCGGGGGCAGCCGGGAAGGTAACACTTTCCTTATAAAAACTTACCTCGTGAGTCAGCGGCCTTCTTGATTTGAGCGGCGGGAGTGGTGAGAGCACGAGCCGGGAAGTGAACTATTATACTCGGGCATTGTCTAAACCTGAAAAACTACACGTGTCATGTCTCCCACCCATCCTCCTCCTCTAACCAAAAAAAAAGACTGTGTGGAGGGTCGGGAGGTAAGGTAAGTTTTTTTTTATTCTTTTGGCAATCTAGAATAGAGGGAATTTTTTTCCTTTTTTTTGGCAGGAAGCTGTCGTAGGGAGGAAAGTATCAACAAATTTAATTAACTCATTATAATAAATTCTATAAATTAAAGTAATTAACTATGTAGAAATGGCTGGACAGATGATGTGTTGTAGCTGTATGATGTGGGAGCTGGCTGATCCCATTGCGAACTGCAGTGACCACATCTGCAGCAAGTGCTGGTTGCTCGAGGAATTTCGGCTCAGAGTTGATGAGCTGCAATTGGAGCTTCAAACATTGTGGCACATCTGGAAGGGGGAGAAGTACCTGGACGATTTGTTTCAGGAGGCAGTCACAGCTGGTAGATTAAGTAATTGAAATTTGGTCAGTGGCCAGGGACAGCAGGGTGTGACTGTAAGTGAGGCAGGTAGAGGGATCCTGTAGTCAGGAACAGAGGAGCCTCAGTTCTTGACCTTGTCCAACAGGTACGAGGTACTTGCTCCCTGCGTGGATGAGGAAAAGGGCTGTAGGGAGGATGAGCCAACTGACCACTGCACCGTGGTACAGGAGACCATTCCAGAGAGGGGTGCAAAAAGACAGGTGGTAGTTGTAGGGGATTCTATAATCAGGGGGATAGATAGTATCCTTTGTAAGCAGGATCGAGAGTCTCGCATGGTGTGTTGCCTGCCCAGTGCCAGGGTAAGAGATATCTCTGACCGGCTTGAAAGGATATTGGAGTGGGAGGGGGAGGATCCAGTTGTTGTGGTCCATGCCGGAACAAACAACATAGGTAAGACTAGGAAAGAGGACCTGTTCAGAGATTATCAGGAGCTAGGAACCAAATTAAAGAACAGGTCCTCAAGGGTTATAATCTCTGGATTACTGCCCGAGCGACATGCTAATTGCCATAGGACATCAGAATAAGGGAAGTAAACACGTGGCTAACAGAGTGGTGTGGGACAGAGGGGTTCCTTTTCATGGGGCACTGGCATCAGTATTGGAACAGGAGGGATCTGTACTATTGGGACAGTCTTCACTTGAATCGAGCTGTGACCAATGTTCGAGCGAAGAGGGTAAATAGGCTGGTCAACAGGACTTTAAACTAGAAAGTGGTGGGGGAAGGAAATGGTGAAACTTACACACCTTTTCTATCTTCTCATGTCTTGCGCCCCAGCTTCTGACTGTCTCTACATGGGTTTCCACTGGGTGCTCCGGTTTCCTCTCACAGTTGAAAGATGTGCAGGTTATGTGGATTGGCCATGCTAAATTGCTCCATAGTGTTCAGGGATGTGCAGAAAAGGTGGATTAGATATGGTAAATGCAGCGTGAAAGGTTTAAAGGTGGTTCAGTTTGGGATGCTGTTCGGAGAGTTGGTGCAGACTCGATAGGTCAAATGGTCTCTATCTGCACGGCAGGGATTCTATAATTAAAATGTTACTTGCCACTTGTCAATTCAAGCCTGGATATTGTCCAGACCTTGTTGCACTTGAGAATGGACTGTTTCAGTATCTGAAGAGTTGCAAAAGGTGCTGAACATTGTGTCATCATCAGGGCAAATCCCAAGTTTTGACATTATGATGGGGCAAGGATATTGATGAAGCATCTGAAGACCTAGGATGCTAGGATGCTATCCTGAGGAAGACCTGAAAAAATTTCCTGGAGCTGAGAAGACTGACCTCCAACAGGATATGCATGTTGGAGGAAGTAACAAAACAAGGCAATGGACACCGAATGATAGGACACTAGGAAGCTCAGAGGAACAGAGATCTTACAGTACTTGAACCAGATCTTTGTAGGTGGCAGGTATGGTGGCTCAGTGCCAGGGACCCGGGTTCGATTCCAGCCTCAGGCGACTGTCTGTTTGCACATTCTCCCCGTGTCTGCGTGGGTTTCCTCCCACATTCCAAAGATGTGCATTGTAGGTGGATTGGCTATGCTAAATTGCCCGTAGTGTTCAGGGATGTTTAGGTTAGGTGGGTTAGACTAGTGGAATGGGTCTGGGTGGGATGCTCTTCGGAGTGTGGACTTGTTGGGCCGAATGGCCTGTTTCTACACTGTAGGGATTCTGTGAAAGGATTGTATGAAAAGTAAATGTGGTAGTTAGAAAGGCAATTGAGACATTTGTATTTATCTGTTGTGGCATGGATTATAAGAGGAAGGTTATGTTGAAGCTGTACAAAACTGGAGTGTAGAGGCCAGCTTTAACTGCCTCACCACAGGAAGGATGTGATCACAGTGGAGGGGCCAGAGGAGTTTCAGCAGGATGTTGCATGGAATGAGGCAGTTTAGCTATGAGGAAAGGCTGGATAGGGTCAGGTTGTTTTCTTTAGAGCAGAGTTTGCTGAGAGGGGACCTGATTGAGAGGTACAAGATTATGAGGAACATGGACAGGATGGATAGGAAGTAGCTGTTTCCATTAGTTGAATGGTCAATAATGAGGCTGTATAATTTCAAGGCGAACAGCTGGAGGTTTAGAGGGGTTTTAGGGAAAAATATTTTCACCGGGGAGATGGTGCGAATCAAGAATGCAATGTCTAGAAGCGTAGTTAAGGCAGGTTACTTCAAAACCTATAAAACGTATGTGGATTAGCACTGGAAAAGTCATAACATTCAAGGCACAGTGCTGGAAAATGGGATTGGTGTGGATAGGTTGGTATGGACTTCATGGGTTGAAGTTCCTTTCCTGTGCTGTATTACTCAGTGACTCCATGTCGCAACTAATTAGGAAGGCAAATGGCATGGTGTGGATTAGAAGATTATTGGAATATGAAAATAAGGATGCTTTTGGCATTGTGCAGGGCTTTGATAAGAGCACTTTTGGAGTGATTCAGTACTGTTTGATGTCAATTTTGAAGACATGCACACCGTACAAAGGAGGTTTAAAAGGTTTGGTCTGGTGTGAGAGTGTTGTCAGTTTTTGAATGGCTTTGTAAATTGGGTTTATTACTTTATAGTTTAGAAGAATGAGCAGTAATCTCACTGAAGTATGCAGCTTTCTGAAAGTGCTTGTCAGAGTACATGCTGGCAGAGTGTTCTCTGGCTGGGGAATTTTGAACACGGGGGAATAGCCACAGAATAAAGAGTCTACTATTTTGCAATGAGATAAGAAATGAATTAATTCTGACCATTGTGAATCTGTAAATGCATCGATCCCAGTGTAAATGTGCCAGAGTTTTGATGATCCCATTTACTTGAGTTATGCATGTTTGCTTCTATAGTTTGGGATGAATGCTCTGCTTCTGGCCGCCTGGTTTGGTCATCTGCGGATTCTTCGAACACTGGTCAATGTTGGTGCCAAGTTGTCATGTGAAAACAAAGTAAGTAAATCTGAAAATGGAAGATCATCCTGTTCGAGTGAGAATGACTACATTGGTGGGAAGTTACCTTTTATCCTGGGGCAGAGTGGGGGGGTCGGGGGGAGGTGGGATCATACAGTGAGCTGCAATTATTTCCCAGAAAGTCAAGCTGCCCTTTGAGATGGTGTGACTTTGGCTCAGCATCATTGTTTTTGTATATCTCTGTGTACTGCTTTGTGATATATACATACGAAATATTATATAAGTTGAATTTAATTTTCCATAACCTCTACCTTTATCTCATGCTTTCCCTCATGTTTAATTCATGAGGTTGCAATTGAAAATGAGAGTAAAGATCAAGATTCCAACCTCCAGTGTCAGGATATGGGACATCTATTCTGGGCTGAAGAGGAACTTACAGTGGTATAGGGAGGATCCACATAGATGCTAACTGCGTGGTATCGTAGAACAAAGAACATAGAGCATAGAACAGTACAGCACAGTACAGGCCCATTGGCCCATGATGTTGTGCCGACCTATTATCCTACTAAGATCAATCTATCCTGTATAGCCTACATTTTACTATCCTCCATGTGCCTATCCAAGAGTCGCTTAAAAGTCTCTAAAGTATCTGACTCCACTACCACTGCCAGCAGCACATTTCACATGCCCACAAATCTCTGTGTGAAGAACCTACCTCTGACATCTCCCCTCTCCCTTCCTCCAATCACCTTAAAATTATGCCCCCTCGTAATAGTCAATTCCGCCCTGGGAAAAAGTCTCTGACTACCTATGCCTCTCATCATTTTGTACACGTCTATCAAGTCACCTCTCATCCTTCTTCGCTCCAATGAGAAAAGCCCTAGTTCCCTCAACCTTTCCTCATAAGATCTGCCCTCCAGTCCAGGCAGCATCCTGGTAAATCTCCTCTGCACCCTCTCTAAAGCTTCCACATCTTTCCTATAATGAGGTGACCAGAACTGAACACAATCTTCCAAGTGTAGTCTAAACAGAGTTTTATAGAGCTGCAGCATAACTTCATGGCTCTTAAACTCAATTCCCCTGCCAATGAAAGCCAAAACTACTAGACTAGATGTTTTACTTAGGAAATATGAGCAGCCAGTTTCAGTTCATGGGGCACTAGCACCAGTACTGGGGGAGGTGGAAGCTCCGTTGTTGAGATGATCTTCACCTGAACTGCACTAGGACCAGAGGCAGACAGCACCAGTTAGAAGAGCTGCCCAGTCCATTCCAGTCTGGTCCAACAAATTATTATTTGGTTATTAACACTAATGATTAACATGAAGTTGATTGATTGTTGAGTATCCTTATTTGTTAGCAATAGGGGTAGGCGATGGCCTAGTGGTATTATCGCGAGACTATTAATCCAGAAATTCAGCTAATGTTCTGGGGAGCCAGGTTCGAATCCCACCACAACAGATGATGGAATCTGAATTCAATAAAAAAATGTGGAATTAGGAATCTAATGATGACCGTGAACCCATTGTCGATTGTCAGAAAAAACCCATCTGGTTCAGTAATGTCTTGCAGGGAAGGAAATCTGCCATCCTCACCTGGTCCGGCCTATATGTGACTCCAGGCCCACAACAATGTGGATGACTCTTAACTGTCCTAAAGTAGCCTAGCAAGCCACTCATTGTACCAATCACTACAAAGTCTCAAAGAAATGAAACCAGACAGATCACCTGGCAGCGACCTAGGCACTGGAAAATGGCATGAACAGCCCTGTCAACCCTACAGGGCCCTCCTACTAACAACTGGGGGTTAGTGCCAAAATTGGGAGAGCTGTCTCACAGACTAGTTAAGCAACAGCCTGACATTATCATACTCATGGAATCATATCTTACAATGTCCCAGCCACCACCAGCACCTTCCCTGGATATGTCCTGTCCCATTGGCAGGACAGACCTGGCAGATGTGGCGCCACAGTGATATACAGTCGAGAGGGAGTTACCCTGGGAGTCCTTAACATTGACACTGGACCCCATGACATCTTTTGGCTACAGGTTAAACATGGACAAGGAAACCTCCTGCTGATTACCACATACCATTCTCCCTCAGCTGATGAATCGGTACTTCTCCATGTTGAACAACACTTGGAGGAAGTTCTGAGGATGGCCAGGGCACAATATGTACACTGGGTGGGGGATTTCAGTGGCCACCACCAAGAATGGCTTGGCGACAGTATTACAGATCGAGCTGATTAGATCCTAAAGGACATAAATAGACTGGATCTGTGGCAGGTGATGAGGGAACCAACAAGAGGGAGACACATATTTGACCTCATCCTTACTGATCTGCTGGCTGCAGATGCATCTGTCCATGACAGTATCAGTACGAGTGATCATCATCCAGTCCTTGTGGAGACGAAGTCCCGACTTTGCACTGAGAATAACCTCCACCATGTTGTGTGGCACTATCACCGTCCTACGTGGGACAGACTTTGATCAGATCTAGCAACTCCAGACTGGGCATCCATGAGGTGCAGTGGGTCATCAACAGCAGCAGAACTGTACTCCAGCACAATCTGTAGCCTCATGGCCCGGCATATCCCCCACTCAACCATTACCATCAAGCCAGGGGATCAACACTGGTTCAATGGAGAGTGCAGAAGGGTATGCCAGGAGCAGCACCAGGAACACCTGAAGATGAAGTGTCAACCAGGTGAAACTACCAAACAGGACTACTTGCACGCCAAACAGTGAAAGCAGCAAGTGATAGACAGCACTCAGCGATCCACAATGAAAGGATCAGATCTAAGTCTGCAGTCCTGGCAGGTCCAGTCATGAATGTTGGTGGACAATTAATTCAATGGAGGAGGAGGCTCCACAGATCTCCCCATCCTCAATGATGGAAGTATCCAGCATGTCAGCGCAAAAGATAAAGCTGACGCATTAGCAAAAATCTTCAGCCAGAAGAGTCGACTGGATAGTCCAGTTCGGCCCCTCCAGTGGTCCACAGCATTACAGATACCAGTCTTCAACCAATTTGATTCACTCCACGTGATATCGAGAAATGGTTGAAGACGCTGGATATTGCAAAGGCTATGGACCCTGACAATATTCTGGCAATAGTACTGAAGATTTGTGCTCCAGAACTTGCCGCTACCCTAGTCAAGTTGTTCCAGCACAGCTGCAACACAATCTACGCCACAATTTGCCTAAGTATGTCCTGTACCTATAAAGTGGGACAAATCCAACCCAGCCGAATCACCGACCCCTCAGTCTACTCTCGATCAGCAGTAAAGTGATGGAAGGTGTCATCAACAGTGCTTTGAAGCAGCACCAGCTCAACAATAACCTGCTGTGTGATGCCCAGTTTGGGTTCTGCTACAGCCACTCAGCTCCTAACCTCATTACAGCCTTGGTCCAAATGTGGACAAAAGAGCTGAATTCCCCTGGTGAGGTGAGAATGAGAGCCCTTGACGTCAAGGCTGGACTGGAACACTGTAGCAAGCTGGAGACAGAGATGTTGGCCAGGGAGCAAGGTGGTGCATTGAAGGGTGGCGGTCCTTGCTCCCAGGCCAACATGTCTGTCTCCGGCTTGCTACAGTGTTCCAGTGAAGCCCAGCGCAAGCTGGAGGAACAACACCTCATTTTCCGCTTGGGGACCCTACAGCCCTCCGGACTCAATATTGAGTTCAATAATTTTAGGGCCTAAATTCTCCCATGTCCCAGCCCCCCATCCCACACACCAGGCATTGTTACCACATAGCCTGCCACTACACACCCCCTGTTGTTAGTCACTAACAGTCCCCATTAACAACTATTCACTCTCCCAGCCTGATCGTTAGCAACTCCTCTGTCTGTCCAACTGTCTTTCTGTCTCTTTGGACTCTATCCTATCATTTACGCCCTACCCCACCCACCTCCCTATTTTCTGCATATAAACTGACGTTTTCCCAGCCACCATCAGTTCTGAGGAAGGGTTACCGGACCTGAAACGTTAACTCTGTTTTCTCCTTCACAGATGCTGCCAGACCTGCTGAGCTTTTCCAGCAACTTTGTTTTGGCATTCATTTCTATCCTTGCTTCCCTCACTTTTGCCTCCCTGCTACTCTATTTAACCCTCCCTCATTGTTCTCGCAAACAATCCAACAAGATATAATTCAGAGATAGTAGGAACTGCCAATGCTGGAGAATCTGAGATAACAAGATGTAGAGCTGGATGAACACAGCAGGCCAAGCAGCATCGGAGGAGCAGGAAAGCTGATGTTTCAGGTCTGGACCCTTCTTCAGAAATGGGGGAGGGGAAGGGGATTTTGAAATTAATAGAGAGAGAGGGGGAGGCGGATGGAAAATGGATAAAGGAGCAGATATGTGGAGAGGAGACAGACAGGTCAAAGAGGCGGGGATGGAGCCAGTAAAGGTGAGTGTAGGTGGGGAGTTAGGGTGGGGATAGGCCAGTTCAGGGAGGACGGACAGATCAAGGAAGTGGGATGAGGCTGGTAGGTAGGAGGTGGAGGTGGGACTTGAGGTGGGAGGAGTGGATAGGTGGGAGGTAGGACGGACAGGTTAGGGAGGCGGGGACAAGCTGGGCTGGTGTTGGGATGCGGTCGGCAAGCTTCAAAATCTCCCCTCCCTCGACCGCATCCCAGACCTCTGCTGTTTGTGATATATATAAATGACTTCAATGAAAATGTAGATGAGTGGGTTGGTAAGTTTGCAGATGCTACATAGATTGGTGGAATTGCCGATGGTATAGAATGTTGTCAAAGATACAGTGGGATATAGATCAGTTGCAGATATTGGCGGAGAAGTGGCAGATGGAGTTTAATCCGGGTAAGTGTGAGGTGCTGCACTTTGGGAGATCAAATGTTAAGGAAAACTATACAGTTAATGGCAGGACCCTGAACAGAATTGATGTACAGAGGGATCTTGGGGTTCAAGTCCATTGCTCCCTGAAAGTGGCCACAAAAGTAAAGATGGCATATGGCGTGCTTGCCTTTATTGGTCAGGGAATTGAGCACAAGAGTCAGGATACAACTTTATAAGACTTTG